ACAATGTATAGCCCATACTTAATTTCCTTAAGATTTTAAGCACAATGCTCACACAGCTGGGGAGATATGCCAAATTACTCATACAGTAGCAACTTTTTTTTTTTTTTTTTTTTGCCTTTTTCCCAGAGAAAGATTTTATTGTGTTACTGATGGGTTTTTACTCAAAAGGTAGCTCCCAGTGTTTTTTGCTTGTTTTTGTTTTTGTTTTTTTTGTTTTCAAACAGAGTCTCACCTTATCACCCAGGCTGGAGTGCAGTGGCAAGATCAGCTCACCACAACCTCCACCTCCCTAGTTCAAGTGATTCTCATGTCTCAGCCCCCCAAGTAGCTGGAATTACAGGCATGCACCACCACGCCCGGCTAAGTTTGGTATTTTTAGTAGAGACGGGATTTCACCATGTTGGCCGGGCTGGTCTCAAACTCCTGACCTCAAGTGATCCACCCACCTTGGCCTCCCAAAGTGCTAAGATTACAGATGTGAGCCACCATGCCCAGCCATGGCTCCCAGTTTTTTGTTTTTTGTTTTGATTTTGGTTTTTGTTTTTAGCTCCCAGTTTTAATATAAAAATCTTTTCAAACAGCTGTTCCCTTTCTCATCCACTTCCTTTGACATGGATCACCTCTCTTGAGGAGAAATCGTTAAGCTTTCCAGCACTCTATAGAAGTAGGATAAACCCTTAACTTGAAGACCGCTTAAGCCATAAAAGACGTCAAGGCATTTACTATTTTCTTCAGGATATGCAGCCCAGAACACTGGAAGGAGTGAGGCGACTTAGTTTTAGCTTCAATATGTAAGACTGGCGACATGCAACTGTTTGCAAACAGCCCACGTTGTGGAGTTGACAGTCATGGATAGATTTTCACCTCCCTTGCTGAGCAGCAGTATAACCTTGGACAAGTCACGGAACTACAACTGCAAAATGTGAATAATCATGCATCATTTGTAGGACTTTTTTTTTTTTTTGAGACAGAGTTTCACTATTATTGCCCAGGCTGGAGTGCAATGGGGTAATCTCGGTTCACTGTAACCTCCACCTTCTGGGTTCAAGTGATTCTCCTGCCTCAGCCTTGCAAGTAGCTGAGATTAAAGGCACCCGCCACCATGCCCAGCTAATTTTGTATTTTTAGTAGAGATGGGGTTTCACCATGTTGGTCAGGCTGGACTCAAACTCCTGACCTCAGGTGATCCACCCGCCTAGGCCTCCCAAAGTGTTGGGATTACAGGTGTGAGCCACCACACCTGGCCTTGTAGGATTTTTTTAAGGCAACTGAAAAGAATCTATCTCCCATGCGTAGCTGAATGCCTGACCCTTAGCAGAGAATGATAACAACAAACACATTTGCCAGATGCTATTTTAAGTGCTTTATAAAAATTACCTCACTTGATCATTACAAGACTGCGTGTGGCCAATACCATTTTTGTCTCACTTTACAGCTGGGGGAACTAGGGCACAGAGAAGTAAAGAACCTTGCCCAAGATGACAAGCTAGTGAGAAGAGATGCTGGCGTTCAGACTCTGGTAGTCCAGCCTCAGACCCCATTCATAGGTCTCTACCTCCCCTCTCCCTACCTCTCACGGGGAGAGACTGCCTACCCCTGAAACCTTGATAGAACTAAGCGATCCTAAAACAATGGCAGAGGGTGAGGAAGAAGAGCTGGAAATACATTTTTCTGCTGGTGGGTGATTTCCGTCTTCCTACAAGACTGATTTCTTAAAGCATTTTAAAGATTATTCCTTAATCAGACACTCTCACACACCACTTGATGAGCACAAGACTGCCATCTTTGTAGAGGGCAATTCAACAGAAGCCAGCAGTGTCCTTAGTGTATTTGACACCCAGGACTAATCATTTATCAATCTCTCCCCTCTAGGTGACAAACTTATTTTTCCTAGTAATTTGTAGAATCAAGAATAGTCTGTTTTGTTTCGTTTTTTTTTCATTCATTCTTTAGCTTTAAAACAATAAGTTGATTTTTTTTTTTTTTTTTTTTTTTTTTTTTTTT